AACCCTGTCCCTACTCAGAAGTATTTGCTTCTCATTACTGCCTCACCCAATCTGCCCTCCCCTCTATCATCCCCTCACTCTCTTATCCCTGTCCTCCCCCTATTTTCCTGTAGGATAAGATAGCTTTCCATACTGCGTTGAGTGTGTATGTTATTCCTTTCTTAAGCCAAATCAGATGAGAATAAGATTCACTCATTCCCTCTCACCTTCTCCCACTTCCCCTCCACTGTAAAAGCCTTTACTTGTCTGTTTTATGTGAGATAACTTACCCTATTCTACCTCTCCCTTTCTCCTTCTCCCAGTATAATCTTCTCTCACCCCTTAATTTTATTCTCCAGATATCACCCATTCATCTTCAACTCACCCTGTGCCCTCTACCTATCTATCTATCTATCTATCTATCTATCTATCTATCTATCTATCTATCTATCTATGCATATAGTTTTTTTCCTCCAACTCTCCTAATACTGACAAAGGTCTCATGAGTTGCAAATATCATCTTTCCATGCAGAAATGTAAACAGTTCAACCTTAATAAGTCCTTTATGATTTCTCTTTCCTGTTTATCTCTTCATTCTTCTCTTGAGTCCTGTATTTGAAAGACAAATTTTCTATTCAGTTCTGATCTTTTCATCAAGAATGCTTGAAAGTCCTCTATTTCACTGAATATTCATTTTCCCCAGAAGGGTTATACTCAGTTTTGCTGGAGAGGTGATTCTTGGCTGTAATCCTATCTTCTTTGTCCTCTGGAATATGATATTCCAAGCCCCCTGGTCCCTTAATATAGAATCTGCTAAATCCTGTCTTATCCTGAATGCATTTCAATAATACTTGAATTGTTTCTTTCCGGCTGCTTGTAATATTTTCTTCTTGAACTGGGCACTCTGGCATCTGGCTATAATATTCCTAGGAGTTTTCCTCTGGGGATCTCTTTCAAGAGGTGATCAGTATATTCTTTCAATTTCTATTTTACCCTCTGGTTCTAAAATATCAGGGCAGTTTTCCTTGATAATTTCTTGAAAGATGATGTCTAGGCTCTTTTTTTTTTTTTGATCATGGCTTTCAGGTAGTCCAATAATTTTTAAAAATTCTCTCTCCTGGATTTATTTTCCAGGTCAATTGTTTCTCCAATGAGATATTTCACATTGTCTGCTATTTTTTCATTCTATGTTGTTTTTTTGTTTGTTTGTTTGTTTTTACAATGTCTTGATTTCTTATAAAGTCACTAGCTTCCAATTGCTCCATTTTAATTTTTAAGGAAGTATTTTCTTCAGTGAGCTTTTGAAATTTTTTTTTCCCATTTTCCTGATTCTGCTTTTGAAGACATTCTTCTTCCTCATCGTTGGCTTTTTGGATCTCTTGCCATTTGGGTTAGTCTATTTTTTTTTTCTTTATGTGAGGCAATTGGGGTTAAATGACTTGCCCAGAGTCACACAGCTAGTGAGTATTATGTGTCTGAGGTCAGATTTGAAATCAGGTCTTCCTGCCTCCAGGGTCAGTACTCTATCCACTGTGCCCCTAGCTGACCTTAGTTTATTTTTAAGGTATTATTTTCTTCAGTATTTTTTGGGTTCTCCTTTAGCAAGCTGTTGACTATTTTTTCATGATTTTCTTGGATCACTCTCATTGCTCTTCCCAGTTTTTTCTCTACTTCTCTTACTTGCTTCTCAAAATCCTTTTCAAGCTCTTCCATGGCCTGGGATTGATTCACATTTTTTTGGAGGCTTTGGATGTAGGAGCTTTGAATTTGTTGTCTTCTTCTGGTTGTATGTTTTGATCTTCTTTGTCACCAAAGAAGATTCTATTGTCTGACTTTTTTTTTCCACATAGTTTGCTCATGATTCCAGCCAATTACTTGAGTTTTAGCCTCTTGGTTAAGGCAGGGGTCTGCTTCCAGAGTGGAGAATGTACTGTCCCATCCTTTGGGGATTTTGTGCAGCTGTTTTTAGAGATACTTCTAGGGACCTGTAATTTTTCAGTTTTTCCAAGGTGTTAAGATCAGGGGTGAGGTGTTTGCTCCTTTTCCTGGCCTGTGCTCTGGTCTGTGAGTGACCAAAAGTGCTCTTTTCTGCCTTGGAACTGTAAGGAGAATTCTCTCTATATCACTACCACAAGCTCCACAATGCCAGCACCCCTCCTCACTCCAGGACCGCCACCAGAACTGTGACCCAGATCCAAGCACAGGCAAAGCAAGAGAATCTTGCCTGAGCACTAGAAAGAGATCCAGCAATCCTTCTCTGATCAGACACTCGATTCCCCGTCAGTCTGTAGGCTGGAAGCTTAGGAAGCAGCTGCTGCCCAGGGGCTGCACTGGGGACTGGGGCTGGGACCATACTTCTCTCTCACCACCACAGTCACAGACTTTCCTTGTGACCTTCCAAGTTCTCTTGACATTAGTGGCTTGAGAAGTCTGGAAACCACCACAGCTGCCCATGATTCAGTCCTTTGAGGCCTGCTCCAGGTTCGCTAAGGCCTGTTGTGCCTGCATGCCCATGCTGAACTGTGTTTCTTTCCCAACCCAGCTCAATAGACCTTTCCAATCAACCATCCAAGTTTCTTGGGCTGGAAATTTGTTTCACTTTGTCTTTTTTGTGTGTTCTGCTGCTCTAGAATTTGTTAAAGTCCATTTTTACAAGTATTTGGAGGGGTTTGGGAAGAGCTCAAGCAAGTCACTGCTTTTAGTCTGCTATCTTGGCTCCCCACCCCCAAGAAGGGATAATTTAAGAAATCATTATACTATGGGGCAGCTAGGTGGCACAGTGGATAGAGCATCGGCCCAGGATTCAGGAGGACCTGAGTTCAAATCTTGCCTCAGATACATAATACTTACTAGCACCTTGACCCTGGGCAAGTCACTTAACCCTATTGCCTAGCCAAAAAAAAAAAAAAAAGAATCATTGTACTACTTGAAAGCCACTGCAAATATATGTATGCCTGTGTGTGTGTATGTGTGTGTGTGTATCCTAGAGATCACATTTCAAGAAATCATGAAAGATAACTTCCAAGACACATTCATTAGAACAAGGTTACAAAGTAAAAATAGAAAAAGTCCACAGTCATCTCCTGAAAAAGAAATTTTAAACTGCTAAGAAATTCATAGTCAACATAAAGAATTATCAGTTCAAAGAAAAAAAAGACCACAGAAAACAGATAAAAAGAAATAGTTTGAGTAAAAAGGAACAACAGTCAGCATCATATAAGAGTTAGGAACTATCATCATAAAGAGAAGGAAAGAATGGAAATCCTGGTTATCCTGAGAAATAACTTATGTAAGAATCAAAAAGAGAGCTTAGGCATTTTCTCCAGACTCTGTCAACTCTCAAAATTTCAAAAAAAAGTGGAATAATGCACACATGGAGAGTAATTTTGGCTGATTTCATAGGAAAATGGGAGAGAAGGCAAGCATGAGAAAAATGATAAGTTTAAAATGCTCATAAATTTGCACTAGAGAATGGTAATCCTTAAAATTCTCTCAGATCCCCTTTCTGCTAACCACTACGGATCATCCATTAGGAGCACATAAGATATCCTTCTGCCTGGGACCCATCTTGTTATCCCTGATGAGATTCTATTGTAATTAGTCAGTCCTTGCCCATTACAAAATTCACAACAACAGGTGGACATTGATTCTTCCCAGCCATGTTTATAGGAAAAAGGAGGAGTTGGAAGCATGCAGCCTTTTGACTGGGCCAGACCCTAGGTTAGGGAACTCCAGAGCTTTAAGAATTTGTCAAAACATCCTGACTATACAGTGCCCTCTGAACCTATAAAAAAGAGGCAGATGCTAATCCAGTCCAGCCATAAGAAGAAAAAGAAAAGGCGCAAGGGAGGAATTGGATCTTGAGGCTTAGCATATGTAATTGTGCTAACCCAGAAAGAACAAAATTAACTAAATTCCACCTGGAACAAGTGTTATCTGCCCAGATGTAAGTACTCAGGCTAGTAGTCTCTACATTTCCCATTACAGGAAGAGGCTGAGGTAGCTTTTCTAGCACAGATTTAGGTGTGTGCGCACCAAAAAAAAAAAAGGATAGTATGTGTTAGGAGTACAAAAGTCAGTCATGGAGAAAGTCAAATGGGGGATAAAAAAACTCAGAAAAGAATTCAAGAGGAAAATAAGATTAAAAAAACCACCCAGATCATAGAAAAATTAATCGAGAGGAATCTAAAAACCTGAAGGATGAGTAATAAATCCTCAAAGAAACTGTGAAACTCTCTTAGAAATATTGTAAGACAAAGGAAAGTTTTACAATGGTTTGCCAAAAAAAAAAAAAAGAAGAATAACCTTGTGAATTCTAAGGAGTTTATGGTAAAGCAATGAGAAAATCTAGCATGGTTATGGTTATGTAAAGAGAAAGCACAGGAATAAATCAATTGAACCTGAATCCTCAAAATTATAATGAACAAACTTAGATGCAAATCAGAGATTTGAGAAGGCACTTCTTAGTTCTTTGCTGAGGTGGGGAACGATTGACATAGGTCACTGTGTGTATTGTCACATTTTTTTTTTTTTTAGTGTTGGTTAGGTTTGAAGAACTTTTACCTCAACTACTGTTACCAAAGATTACTCTGAGAAGAGATGGGGAGATGAATATTTTGTGAAATATAGATAATGTAAAAGCAAATGATACCAATATAATGTATTTTAAAATAATGATGCTAATTGACATTAATATAACTTTTTAAACGTTGGAAAACACTTCTCATTAAAAATAAATCAGCCACTGTAGAACACAATTATCTCTTAATCAAAAAACATTTACTAAAGGAGCAAACAACTAAAACAGCATTCCAAACAAACCAAGGATATACCTATGGGTATACCTCTGCACCACCAAGATGTGGTGTCCATGGGGGAAGAGTAAGTACAAAATTACAGAATCACAACACAGTGGATAACTCACAATTGGACTGAAAGATTGAATCTCCTTTGACCCCTTTAAGCCCAGTCTGAACAACAATTCAGCACAGGAGTGGGGCTGCTTATCTGCAGGCTACTACCTTCAAATCTCTCCTCTTCTGGGCGTCTCCAATCCTCTGCTGGGTAGGGGAACTTCTTAGCAGCTTGCTCTTTTTTGGAACTGCTGAAGCAGTGATAAAACCGAAGTAGTAAAGGTGGGATTTGGATATTCTTTCCAGGTCTGCTCTTCTGACTGGGCATCAGGTGGTAGCCAGTTCTGAGGTCTGTTGCCAGACCCAACTAAAGCCCTTTTCTGAGTTCTTAGCTTTGCTCACTTTTTCCTCCAAGGTTACACAGTTAATCAATGGCAGAGTCCAGAACAGAACATAAATCTAATACTGTCTTCACCTCCCAAAAAAAGTGCTAGTATAATAACAAAGGCTTTAATGTTCTATTCTTCAGGCTTTTGATTCTATTATATACCCTATGCCAACATATCTTCTCCTTTATCTTTTTGCCTGTGGTGGCAGTGGGAACACCAACCTTCAAGCTGCGTTTTTTTTTTTAGTTCAGTCTCCATTCCAAGGCAGGATTAATTTTAATCAAATGGTGATTTAAAATAGGTGCTATATAACCAGCTCACATTTGCACAAGTGATTAGGGCTTTTGGGTGGAGACAAGTTCCTTCCCTGCTCAGGAAAGAGCAATGAGGGGCAGGCCAACTAGCTTGTCCTTGCAGCATACTTCCTTCCTATTGCAACAAATGATCCAGCTCTAAAACAACTCTTACAAATGACTCTCCTGGCTGTGAAAGAGAGGAAGAAAATAGCAACTGCTTAATTTTCCCCCTTTTCTACAGAAAGCAAGACATATACAATGCCTAGTTAAGCATGAATGACTTTAAAACTGCCATTTGTCACTGGTGTATGACAATCAAGGGTGGAGTCCCACCTCAGAGATTTTCTCAGTTAAAAACCCTAGTGTTAAGGTTTGAAACAGTATCAATATTTTTCTAGACTTACCAAGGGCAAGCCAATTTTGTTGCCGCTGTTGTTGTATTGTTATTATTCCTTTAAACAATGTTAGAGCTGGAAGGTATCATAGTATCAGGAAACTTGCATTTCATTAATTTCAAGATCTTAATTTTCCAAATAAGGAAACATGCTATTAGAGATTAAATGGCTTGCTATTGTTGCTGGTGATTATGATGACAATTAAAATGACAATAATAATGAGGATGAAGATCCAATGATGAGGTTCAGAGTCTGGTTGTCCAGAAAGAAATCAGGGGCAAAGGTTCTCCTAATCAAAAAGGCTTTATTGATGCAAAGGTAGCAGGCTAGCCCAGGAGGAAGACTAGCAACTGGTGAAAAGACAGGGACTTGCTTTTATACACAAGTCAGACAGGAGTGGGCATGCTTCTACGTTGGCAGTTAGCTACAGGATAGCATATCAAGAAGGCGAAGCAGGTGTATTAGTGCCACAGGGAAGAGGTGGCAGGAAAGGGGAAGCAGGTATGTTTGGTACTTTACGAAACAGTTCAGAGATGTGGTCACAAAACAGGTAACTTGCAACATTTAAGGATATGAGCACAAACAACAGGGGTTAGTCAAGTACACAGAAAATAATGTTTTCTTATCAATAGATAGAGCCCCATTACTGGGCAGATTTAGACTGAGGCAAGGCTTTCATTGTTGCTAGGCAGAAGTCCGACTCATCATTTAACATGTATGTTTTTTTTAAGGTTTGCAAAGTGCTTTTAAATATACTATGTCATCTGATTATCCCACCAACCCAGTAAGTAAGCTGTTATCTTCAATTGACAGATGAGGAAATGGGCTAAAATAGATTAAGTGACTTACTCAAGGTGACAAAGCTAGTAAATATCCAAGATAAGATTTTTGCTAAGTCCTTACTGACTCCAAATCCAACGTACTGTTCACCATGCCAACTAGCTTCTTGTCACATAGCTAATGTGATAGAGCTGAGATTATTGCTTAGAACTTCTGAATCTGTGCTGTAGTCAAAAGAGTATTGGGCTTAAAGTTAGTGAACAGGAGTTTGATTATTCCCTGTGTAAATCAATCAGGAAGTCATTTATTACCTACCCACTATGTGTTAGGCAGTGTGTTTTGTGTGGAGTTAAGAAGGCAAGAGTGAAAAAGTTCTTGCCCAGGGGCAGAGCCAAGATGGGCATGAAAGCAGTGACTTGTTGAGCTCTCCCCAAACCCCTCCAAATACTCATAAAAATTGGCTCTAAACAAATTCTGAAGCAGCAGAACCCACAAAAAGACAGAGTGAAACAAATTTCCAGCCCAAGGCAACCTGAATGTTTGATCAGAAAGGTGTATCACACCGGGCTGGGAGTGCAGCGTAGCACTGCATGGGCTCGCAGGCCACAGCAAACCTGGAGCAGGCCTTAAAGGACTGAATCTCCGGCAGCTGTGGAGGTTTCCAGACTCCTCGATCCACAAATGTCAAAGACAACTTAAAAGGTCAGTGGGAAAAGTCTGTTTCTGTTGGTGATGAGAAAGGAAGGTGAGGTCTCAGCTCCATTCCACAAGAGCGTGGCCCTAGGGGTGGCAGCTGCTTCCCGAGCTTCTGGCCCACAGACTGAGGGGGAATCCATTGTCTGATCAGAGAGGAATTGCAGGGATCTTTTTGCCAGTGCTGATGCAGGAATCTCTTGTTTTGCCTGTGTTTGGATCTGGGTCACAGTTCTGGTCAGCGGTTCTGGGGTGAGGAGGAGCGCTGGCTTGGTGGAGCTTGTAGTGGCTGTGGAAGAAGCCCTCTCACAGTTACAAAACAGAAAGGAATACTTGTGGTCACGGGCCAGGAAAGGAGTAAACACCTCACCCCTTATCATAACACATTGGAAGAACTGAAAATTTATAGGTCCTTACAAGTGTCTCTGAAAACAGCTGTACAAACCCCTGAAGCTTGGGACAGTACATTCTCCATTTGGAAGCAGACTCTTACCTTAACAAAGAGTTTAAAACTGAAATAATGGGCCAGATCATGAGCAAGCAGCGCAAAAAGAGTCAGACTATATTATCTCACTTTGGTGAAAAGAAGGTCAAAATACAACCAGAAGAAGACAACAAAATCAAAGCTCCTACATCCAAAGCCTCCAAGAAAAATATGAATCAGTCCCAGGCCTTGGAAGAGCTCAAGAGGGATTTTGAGAAGCAAGTAAGAGAAGTAGAGGTAAAACTGGGAAGAGAAATGAGAGTGATGCAAGAAAATCATGAAAAACAAGTTAACAGTTGCTAAAGGAGACCCAAAAATATACTGAAGAAAATAACCCCTTAAAAAATAACCTAACCCAAATGGCAAAGAGGTCCAAAAAGCCAATGAGGTGAAACATGCCCTAAAAAGAAAAATTGGCCAAATGGAAAAGGAAGTCCAAAAGATTACTGAAGAAAATACTTCCTTAAAAATTAGAATAGAACAACTGGAAGCTAGTGACTTTATGAGAAATCAAGACACAGTAGAACAAGTCTAAATGAATGAAAATTAGAAAACAAAGTGAAATATCTCATTGGAAATACAACTGACTGGCAATAGATCCAGGAGAGGGAATTCAAAATTATTGGACTATCTGAAAGCCACTATCAAAAAAAAAGAGCCTAAGACATCATCTTTCAAGAAATTATCAAGGAAAACTGCCCTGATATATTAGAACCACAGGGCAAAATAGAAATTGAAAGAATCCACTGATCTCCTCCTAAAGAGATCCCAAAGGAAAACTGGTAGGAATATTGTAGACAAATTCCGGAGTTCCCTGGTCAAGGAGAAAATATTACAAGTTGCCAGAAGGAAACAATTCAAGTACTGTACAAACACAATCAGGATAACACAAGATTTAGCAGGTTCTACATTAAAGGACCGCAGGGCATGGAATATAATATTCCAGAGGGTAAAGGAGGTAAGATTACAACCAAGAATCACCTACCCAGCAAAACTGAGTATAATCCTTCAGTGGAAAAAATGGTCATTCAGTGAAATAGAGGACTTTGAAACATTCCTGATGAAAAGACCAGAGCTGAACAAAGAATTTGACTTTCAAATACAGGACTCAAGTGGAATGTGAAGAAGCAAACAGGAAAGAAAAATCATAAAAAGACTTATAAGGTTGAACTGTTTACATTCCTGCATGGAAAGATGATATTTATAAATCATGAGACTTTTGTCAGTATTAGGTAGTGGGAGGAAAAATATTATATGTATGTATGGATGGATAGATAGAGGGCACAGGTGAGTTGAAGATTAAGGGGTCTTATCTGGAGAATAAAATTAATGGATGAGGGAAGATTATACTCCAGAGAAGAAGAGAGGAGAGGTAGAATGGGGTAAATTATCTCACAGAAAAAAAAAAAGAAAAAAAAAAAGCTCTTACAGCGGAGGGAAACAGGGAAGGTAAGAGGGAATGAGTGAATCTTATTCTGTAGGATTTGGCTTAAGGAGGGAATAATACACACATCCAATTGGGTATGGAAATCTGTCTTACCCTAGAGGAAAATAGGGGGAGAAGGGGACAAGAGAGCAGGGAATGATAGAGAAGAGGTCAGACTGGGAAAGGGTGTAATCAGAAGTAAATGCTTTTGAGGAGGGAGAGGGTCAAAAGAAAGAATAGAATAAATGGGAGGGCAGGATAGGATCAAGGGAAATAGAGTTAGTTTTTCACAACATGTCTATTATGGAAGTGTTTTGCATAACTGCACATATAATACCTATATTGAGTTGTTTGCTTTTCAGTGAGGGTGGGTGGGGAGGGAGGAAGAGAGAAAATCTGAAACCTAAAGTTTTAAAAACATGTGTTTAAAAAAAAAGTGTTTTCACATGCTATGGTGAAGTAAGAAATACAGGAAATGAGGTACAGAAATCTATCCTGCCCTACAGGAAAATAGAAGGGGAAGGGGATAAGAAAAAGGGGGGGGGGAAGAGATAGAAGAGAGGACAGACTAGGGGAAGGGATATTCAGAATGCATGCCATCTTGGGGTGGGGGGAGGGTGAGACGAGGTGAAAATTTGGAACTCAGAAACTTGTGGAAGTGAATGTTGAAATCTAAAAATAAATAAATTTTTATTAACAAAAATTTAAAAAATAAAAATAAAATAAATTTTAAAAAATAAAATAAAATAGTTCCTAAAAAAAAGTTCTTGCCCTCAAGAAGTTTTCATTCTGATTAGGGAGATAAAGTGAAAACTTACAACTAAAAAGAAACTATAAGTTAACATTGGAAGAGAAGGAACTAGAAGCTCAGGCATGCATATACCCTTTGGCTAAGCAATGCCTTTATTAGGTCTATAACTGAAAAAGATAAAAAAAAAAAGAAATTAAAGACCTATGTGCACAAAAATATTTATAATAGCTCTTTTAGTGGTGGCAAAGAATTGTGTATTGAGGGCATGTCCATCAATTGGGCAATGACTGAATCAGTTTTTGTATATGACTGTGATGGGATATTATTATCCTATCAGAAATGATGAGCAGGGTGCTGTTAGGGAAAAAAAACACAGAAAGATTTACATGAACTGATGGGAAGTGAAATTTGCAGAAACAGAAAAATGTATATAGAAACAACAATAT